TCTTTCTTGGAGTTATTGAACGTCTTGAACCTGTGGCTTTAAATTTTTCATCAAATTTGAAAATTTTTAAGCCAATTTTTATTAATGTTCCATGCGTGCTCTTAAAAAATATTCATGCTCTGTTGAGTGAAAAGGTCATTATTTATCTACTAGATCAAGGTGATTGATTTTATCATTCAAACCTTCTGTATCTTTGCTCTTTTCAGCTAATTTATCCACTTCTGAAAGGTAGATCTCAAAACCTCCAACTAACACTGGTGATCTAATTTCTAGTGTGTCCAGTCACTTGCTTTATATATTTTGAAGCTATATTGTTAGCAACATACATATCCATGATCATATCATTTGTTATTATCTTACTAGTAAACGTCATCCTTTGCCCTTGAAGCCATGTTCATCTTATCATTGTTTTGCTAATGTTAAAATTGCTGCCATGGCCAGTCTGGGAGGACTATGTGAGGCAGGGAACCTCAAGGTTTCTGGAGAATCTGGGAGGACGAATAGATGGGTGGCCCTTCAACTGAGCCAGTAACGCAGTTAGCGGTAAAGGTAGTTCAAGGTGGAAGGACTTGCAAAAAGGAGTCCACAAGGGGCCTTATGCATTTATTCTAGTCCAAATGAGTTAGGTCTTGTAAGTTAGGCCTAATCCCAAAAGGCTTAATACGCTTTCTGAAAGAACCGAGGCAGTCAACGTGTGGGCAGCTGTGCTTTGTTCCAGTTGGAAAAGGAATAGTCACAGGGTGGAGAAAAGTTTCCTTCCTACCTAGGAGAGCTCAGAGAGAGACAGCCATATAACAATGGGGAAAGGGAGAGACCCTTACCCATGGCATTACTGAGCATCCCAATGCTCGCTCCGGTCTACTTTCCTTAAGTTATTACTCAACAGCTTAAAGGATTAAACCCTTTTTAAAAAAGACAGGCTCCGGGGCACCTGGGTGCCTCAGTCGGTTAAGTGTCTGACTTCAACTCAGGTCATGATCTCGCGGTCCATGAGTTTGAGCCCCGTGTTGGGCTCTGTGCTGACAGCTCAAAGCCTGGAGCCTGTTTCAGATTCTGTGTCTCCTTCTATCTCTGACCCTCCCCCATTCATGTTCTGTCTCTCTCTGTCTCAAAAATAAATAAACATAAATTAAATAAATAAATAAATAAATAAATAAATAAATAAATAAAAAGACGGCTCCTTTCCACAGAACTGGCAGGCAGGGAGAAAATACAGATGACCCAACAGAAATACTCTGAAGTCAGAGACATTTTCCTTGCAGAGTAATTAGAAAATACACAGCACAGACGACAGACTGGCTAGTGAACTGTACAAAGCCCCATTAGAAAAATGAGGCCTGATGGAGAGGGTGAAGCAAAACCTACGTGCATAGGTGCTCTTCCTTGATCTGCGAAGCCTGGGGGAAAGCGGCACCGGGACCCGAAGGGAGTGCAAGCCCTCACCCAATCCTAGCATAGATATCCTGCCTGGCTGGGTCAAGAGGAAACTACTCATAGACTTCCTTGATCTGAAGGTTCTATACCTCATTTCTAATGCTGAAGCAAGTCTGTGGCAAATAGTGTAGAGAACACAGAATTAGAGATGGCGCCTGGGGAAAAAATTGCATTCAAAGTAAGGCAGTCATCTTCAAGCAGACAGACCATTTGGGACATTTTCAGTACAGAGCTGTAAAGGAATACACACACACACACACACACACACACACACACACACAAATATATACAGACACACACACACACACACACACACACACACACGATGGCAGACTTCCAAAAAGAAAGCTAAGAGCCACAGTTTCAAGAGATTTCCTTCTTTTTCTCCCTCTAACAGGTAAATAATGATGTGAGACCCTTTGGGGGAAAGGGAAGGACAATCATCCCTTCAATCTTCCTGACCACCCTGAGGCAGGTGCTCCCATCTCCAATTTACAGATGAGTCCAACTGCACAGCTCCTTCCTGTGTCCTCATGAAGGATGCAATGGGGGAAAGATGGGCACGGGCTGCTCTGTTCTGAACTGACAAGGCAAAGAATTAAAGCTGGTAGCTTCAGAACCGGCGGAAACACAAATGCATCTTGGGATCATGGTTTTTTAAAACACATCAAGTGGCACCTTTTAAAGCAATGACAATGGCTTCTATTTCTGTTTCTAACCCGATTCCTCTTTTGGAATTTGCTCTTCAAGAAACATGAGGCTGGGTAATGAGGACTCTGAAAGCCCAGAGCCCAGATCCTGTTGCAGAACCCCAGCATGACTTCCTGTGAAACTCCTAATAAATCATTCAGTTTTGCCTTGAAGCCACTGAATAACTTTGAATAATGTGAAAGCTGGTGCTTCAAATCGTTACCAGGACACCCACACGGGAGTCCTATTTACCCAGGGAACTGTTAAATTCCACCTGTGGTAAATTGGCATCTCCTCCCTGCCATGAGGTGGTTCACTTCAAAGTTGGTTACGTTTTAAAAGTCTTGCTTTCACCAAGCCTGTCTGGTAATTGCCTTCTCTTGAAAATCCAGATCCAATCCACCGGGCCTCCTGGCAGACGACAAAGAGGAAAACAGTGAGTGACCGTAAGAGCCAGAGCACCTAAAGGATCTGTTACACAGTGTATGGTATGGGGTCGGCCGGGCAAGTAAAGCCGTGGGAGGCAGGCCTTGATGTGTGCTCTGTGCGGCTTGACGAGGAGGAAGGGAATGGCCACTTATCGAGCATCTACACCGCACTAGGCGTGGTGTCGTGCCCTTTTCCTATTTATCTTCCCAGCATCCTCTACATAGTAAAATGAACCTTACTTGGTGGATGTGGGACCTGACTGAGGTCATGTGGCCAGAAAGTGGCTGGGTTATAACTCCCCAGAATTCCTGCTTCTCTCACACCATACCCAAAATGTCCTAAGCAAGATTGCCAAAATGTTTCAATGAGGAACCCATGGAACAGATATGCCTCCTTGACTGCTACGGGGTTGAGGTTCCTCTCAGGGAGCAACAGATGAGATACTGATCGGGGTGTCAGATACCCGGTGGACAAAGCTGAACTCACAGCCTGTGTGTCTAAAGATGGCGTCTAAAGCTGTTCATGTCTACTGTTACCAGTAAGGGCTGTTCACACATCTGTGGGTAGGAAAGGTTTCCCTAGACTGGGAGAGTGGACAGAAGGACATTAGTATTTATTAAGAGGTAATAGATCTTAATGATGAAGAGCATGGGTGTTAGGGCCTGTCTGGGCCTTGATCTCATGTGCCGTCTTGCTGCAAAACAACCCAACATGTGTGTGCACGTGAGGGTGCCTGGGTGTGGGGGCAGCAGAGACAGACGAGCAGGAGTGGCCACGTGCTGGCTTTGCTGAAACTCATCAATGACAACATGAGACGTATCATATTATTCTATGTCTGTAGAGGTTTGAAATTTCCCACAATGAAAGCATAAAAATAAACCTGAGCTCCTTCACCGCTCACCTGTTGTAAGACACTGACAAGTCTCTTGGCCTGCCTCAGTTTACTCCTGTCAAATTAAGTACTATTAGTACCTACCTCATAGGACTGTATGAAAAATGAATGAGTTAATCCATGGAAAATGTGGAGTAACCAAAACGTCCCGGGTATCAGACATGGTTTTACAAATTTACTATGTCAACTGATTCCTCCCATCAATCCTATGAAGCAAGAGAACTTCCATTTTCACATGAGGAAGGGGACTCAGGGGTCCTGGCAACAAAACCTGCATAAAAACCCAGGTTTGCTCCATAAGCCTGGTTTGTATTAGATGACCCCCTTCCCTAGAAGCGACTCGACCAGTGATTTACAGACAGGGACACTGAGGCTCAGTGAGTTTCCACTGTTCTTGGCATAGGCTGGGGGCAAGATACAGACCAGGCACTCTGTGGCGTGCAGCCCGGGCTCTTTCTGGTAGACTGGACAGGCTGTCCCTGAGGCAGCCTCGACACCCACTCTTGGGGCAGGAGGGTGAAGAGCTCTGCATTTCAGTGGCCCTGTGGCCACCGAGAAGAACAGAGATGTCTCCTCCTCGCTGTGCCCCTGCGTGAGCAGGTCCTTGAGTCAGCGGCCTTCAGTCTTTCCCAGACCACAAGCACTGAGGCTTATAAAAGAGAACCAGACAAGGGAGAGAAAAATAGAAACCTATGAAAAACTTTATGTTAGCAGCCTCTGCATTTGATAAATATTTTAGTAAATCTCTTTCCAGGGCGACGGGCACTTGAGCGTGCCTAAGGCCGCACGGCGTCTCCCTCTGAGACCAGCTCTCACAGAGTGGCCCACAAAGCTCTGTCAGCCTCGCCGAGTCCCGGGATCGTGGGGCATCAGCTGGAGTCCTTCCTTTCAACAACTGCTTCCTCTTCCCGAGGAACTTGCTCCCGGACATCCCAGGTCCCCTGTAACAGCCTGAGCCATCAGGGAGTAAGTCATGCAGCCTCGGTGATTAGAAAAGCACTTCTCTCCCCACAAATCTCTGTGTAATCAGCAACGACAGGAGGACAGACACCCTCGGAACAGTCATCATGAATCTGACTTCCAAAAAGGGGTCACTCCCTCAGGAACCAGGGCCGGGCTAACAATGCCCTTAGAGTACAGTGCAGAACCTTCTAGCAGGGCCAATGTGCATCAAAAATTCAGCTGGACTGCAAACAATTTGCATCCTTTCAGCAGGAACAGAACCAAGTCTGACCTTTACCTCCAGGACCACTTTCGGGTTGCCTTTCTAACTGGTGGAACGAGCACCTGTAGTCATATTCCAGTTAGAACTCTTACTTTGCTAAAACAGACCAATGAATGTACCCTTCCTGCCCCTCTCAAGATTTTCCCAATCTTGAACTGCTCCAGTCGGAAAGCACAAATGCTACTGAAAGGGATTCAAGCTGGGACTGAAGGAGAGGTGAAGAAGCCCCCGGGGGGAAGGAGCAGCGTGAAGAAACACACACACACAGGGCCACCCTGCACTTCCCTAAGAGCAAGGCCTCCTCCTGGCAAAGCAAGATAAAACATCCAGTTTAAGGCTATTATCTCCTTTATTCAAAAAAATAAATATTTCACTTTTGACTCGACATATTTCAAATCACATTAAGCACAGAGAAGAAGTCCAGTCCCTTTGGAAATTGTGAACACATGGAGGAAAAGAGTCATGTTCAAAACAATGGGGATGGGGTGAGCACTGGTTCCAACTGATTCATGACCCAGAGATTCCTCCTCTCACCAGGTGGGCTACATATTGATTTTAGGAGAGACAAAGAAACACACACACACACACACACACACACACACACACACACACACACCGCTTTGAAGTCTGAAAGGCTGAAAGGCACATGAAGTGGACCATAAGGTGTATGGCACGTTCACTGATAAAACGTTCCCTATTCCCTCCCAGGGAAATTGGAGAAACTTTAATCAAGTCAAAGACCAGAGAAGACAGGGTGCCCCTGCTCGGAGCTCAGCATCAGGAAAATCTCGGGACACGAGAGCCATGTTTCGTTGGCCTTCCCCCTCCCGGGCCTCCACTGCCTGCTTGGGGAGCCCGCCCACAGCGCTCACTCGGTGACGGTGGGGCGCGTGGCCACGTACACGAACACCACGATCAGAAGCACGACCACGGCCAGCGTGGGCAGCACCACCGTGGTGATCTGCTGTCGGGCCTCCTGCATGGCCTGCTTCCGCTCCTTCTTGTCCTTGGACGTCTCCTTCTTGGGCTTGCCTTTGAGCTGCCGCATCTTTCCCGGGCGAGGCTAGGAAGGCGTCCGGAGAGGGTTTTGAAGGACGGGCCACGCTCCTCTGGTCAAGGCGCACAACCTCCTGTGGGGAGAACTGTGATTGAAAACGAACGGAGTGAAAAGGAAACGAAACTGTAAACTCAAAGGCAAATGCTAACCCAGGAGACATACCTGCAATTTAGAAGACAAGGGGTTAGAACAACAGGGGTCACACAACAGAGGTCAGAGCCTCTGAGTGGTGGGGTTGAGGACAAACTGGATGGACCCCAGGGTCCCTGGCCTGGCGGCGTACCGTGAATGGGTCCCCGGCATGCTCACACAGGGCCTCTGTGCACGTGGGACACGGATGGCACGCCGTCTCCGCTCGGATGAGAGGAGCACATTTCTCCCCGCCGAGGCCCCACCCGCTTTCCTCACTGTTCCGAGTGTCACACCCTCCCCCGCTGATCTTTACTGCTGGGCGGCCTGCAGATGCCAGGCACATGGTTCCATCCTGCCCAAGCCCCGGGCCTGATCGTGGGCCTGGTCAGCCTTGCTAGGGCTACAGAGGGCCCCCAGAGGCACTGACTTCTCCATCTCTGCCCCGGTTCGTCCATCCGTCCAAACCTTCCCGAGCACCTACTATGTGCCAGGCACTGCTGGAGGAGCTGCGGAAGAGGTGGAGGACTAAGTCCCACCCTTGCAGCACCCTCCGTCTGGGGGTGCACCACCGGCTGCAGGCGCAGTGTTGTCTGGGTCAGGCAGACAATGGAGACTGGCTGAGCCTGCGGTCCTACCGCCCACTCGGATTCTCGTGAATTCTGTGCCCCAAGGAGGGGCTCAGGTGGTGAAGCAGTGCCGTCAGGGGCCTGGGAACAAATGAAAAACCCACAGACAACTTTACAGCAAGAGCTCCATAGAAGTCTGATTCTTAGCTTGAAGCAGCAGCAACCCTTTGACTGATTGAGATGGGGGAGTTGACTCAGAGACCTTTGGCACGTCTCAGGATCCCCAGAAAAGCCAAAGGCCTGGGCTCTGGCCACAAGCAGGACGAGGGAGCCGGGCGGCCATAACCAGAGCCCCACTCATACCACAGCACCACCTGGGCACCGCCACTGCAGCAGGAGGCGCCGAGGCCACCGCGACTGTCCTTGCAAACTAGGTGTGGCTGCTGTCACCGTCCAGGATGGACTGCCGAGCGCCTGGCTTTTCTGCGCCACCAGCTCCTGTGTGCGTCAGACGAGCCAAGCGGAGGCCCAATACGCCCACAGCCCAGCCTTTCAATCTCTATAGTGGGTGGAGTGTTTTCTTAAAGCGAAAAACAAGCGGAGGTTGGATATTGGACGAGACAAGACATCTGTCCATCACAGTATCCTAGGACTAGCATGGAGTTCGATGCTCTCAGAGGCAGAAGGGCAGCACACGCCAATATTCCTTGCAACATGACCTTGTGTGTGCAGTTTTGTCCCAGGGCAGTGGGCGGCCTGTCACCATGCTGACAAGAAGACAGCATTTACACCCAAGTCACCACATTAAGCGGCAGAATATGAAACGTGGATTCTGAGACAGAAGACGTCTTACATGAGAGCCAACTGTTGGTAGAGGGACCCTAATATATCCTACCACTCCTCTCATCTCATATGGACCCCGGAATTTTTTCTGTATTACCCACATCAGGCAGAGTTTCTTACGGCACAAGATGACTAATTTTAGTACACTGGGATGACCAAGGCCAGCCAAAAGCAAATACTTAATTCCAGGGCAGCCCTACTTTGGCCAATGTACAATTTCCACTAGGATTTGAAAACTACTCATTAGTACTTTCTTAACACCTGACAGGTGTAGGAATCCCTGGCTTTACCAATTCTCCCTTTCAAATCTTTCACAGAACTTTCAGACAGACCTGGCTTCAAACCCAGGACGCACCGCTTACTGGCTGCATGGCTGTGAGCAAGTCACTTAGCTTCACCGGACCTCACTGCCCTCATCTGAACAATGAGAACAGCTTCTCTCGCAAAGGCTGACCGTGAGGACTTGAAAACGCACAAGTGCACGGTGCTCTGACCACCTGCAGGGAAGCAGGACAGGCCGCTGAGCCAGACGGAGCCGGCTTCCTCTCCCCCACGACTCACCGGCCCGCGACCCTGGGCAGCCTCACTGAGCTTCTCGAAGCCCCGGCTACCACCTGAGAGGTGCTAATGATGGCGGTGTGCCCTTCACAGGACCATGGTGAGGACGAGACAAGAATCCGTAACACGGTGCGTGGCGTGGAGAAGGCACTCGATGCACGTTAGCTAATGCTGCTAGGGTGCGTCCCACAGGGCTGTGAAGTTGGAACGCACAGGATGGAAGAGGCTTACTATCCCCCGTTTTAGAGACAAGGACACCAGCAGAGCAGTGGACAGCACCGCTTGTCAGCTAGGAACCGCAGTTCATCCTCTCCCTGACGGGGCCTCACAAGTTTGTTTAGAAAGAGACAAGCCATTAGCGGCACTCGGATTTGCAGCTATGCCCCGGCGAGGGGGAGCTAATGGCCTGTCGGGCCTGTGAAATACGGAGCACCCGCGGGTGCTGTTCACAAGGCCCCTCACAGGCCCGGCCGCAGGCAGGCACCCCTGGAAGCCTGGAGTTAAAAAGGGCCCCAGCTGCTCCTGCGAACCCTACAGGCCCTGGCTTCGGTCCTCCCACATCAGCATTTCAAAGGCATCAGCCTCCGTGGTGACCAGCTCCTGCTATCCTGCTATCCGTAAGATGCACTCAGAAGTTCCTGGGAGCTTAGAAAAAAGCCTCAAGTTGCTGGGGACAGTGCAGGTCTGGTCAGGATTTAAAGAACAAGCAGGCAGGTCTGAATGCTGGGCTCTTCGTCAGGCTACAGCAGGCAGCCTCCCTGCTCTCACTCACCTATGCTGTGGACCTCAGGCCACAGCCCCACACTCTCTCTGGGGCCCAAGAATCAGGGAAAACATCTCTGAGATGACACCAGAGGAGAGGGGAGGGGACCAGCCAGGACAGAAGCTGGGAGGCACAGCAGAAGTGGAAGGAACCAGGCAGGAGGAGAGTGGCAGTTGGACCTGGAGAGGGCGGCAGAGGCCAGGTCATGGGGGGGGGGGGCATGGCAGAATAACAAGGGAGGCTCAGGGAGCAGGCCAGCATGGGAGGGGGTGGCTCAGACTGGGAGAGGGAGTGGTGCCCGGGAGGACAGAGTCGGTACTCTGGGGGCACAGGTGACAGGCCCTACTTACAGATCAGATGTGGCCTCTGAGGGAAAGAGGGGAAATCACAGGTGAACCTAAAGTTTGGAGTGCAAGCGGCTGGCTGGCAGTGGTCCTGCCTCAGGAGTGGAGGGAGAAGGGGTGGGGGAAGGGGTGGGCTTGAGAAAGACCGGGAAGTGCCGTGTTCGTCTCTGTCCCTGTGTGAGGATGCCTATTGGACATCGCCATGGAAATATCAAGGAGGCGGCTGGAGCAATGAGTCAGGAGCTCCGGCTGGGCTGAAGATCTATATTTGGAAGTCATCTGCTATTAGCCAAGGTGAGCTCACTAAAGGTAGATGGAGAAAAGGCCCGGCCTGGGCCCCGCAGCCCCTGACAGAGGACAGAGAGTTGTGGAACAAGCAAAGAGGCCTGGGGAGAAGAGGCCAGTGAAGGGGAGAAACAGAATATAAAGTCCTGGGGGCCGAGAGAGTCAAGAAAGGTACTGCTTCAGAACACTACTGAGAGCCAAGGTGAAGATCGAGAAGCATCTACGGGCCTTGGCAACATGAAGATGTGACACGAGTGACTTCAGAGCGGGGAGGGTGCAGAGTAGGGCTATTAAAAGTGTCACCCACAAACTCAGCTGAGAAGGGAGAAGCTTGGGCCAGAAGGCAGATGGACACTCTGCTTCTTTCATTGACAGAGTTTAGCCATGGAGAAAAAAAAAAGTCAGCTGAACTAAATCAGGCGTGGTACACAGCTGACTTACATTCTGGCGCACACTCCCGAATCCTGTGACAACGTGCGATAAATGGTTCACGTACCAGCACTCTGACCAGCACTTGCGCAGACAACCGGTCTGGGGCCCTGCTGGAAGAGCATGTGCAGCCGGGAGGGAAACCGGAGGATGTCTGGGGAGTCCAGCAGAACGGGGCAAGCCCTGATGCTGAAAAGAGAGCACACGAGGACCACTTTGCCTTTGAGAGAAGCGAAGGCACGGCTTCAAATCCACCAGGAGACGGGGACGGGAGGAGGCAGGTCTGTACTGTGCGGTAGAAATGAGAGGCTCCTACTTTCTTAATGAAACAGGAAAGGGCTCAGCTTCAAGGCTGGGAGTTGGGAGGCAGGTCTGAGGAAAGAGCAGGCAGGCAATAACCATCTTGGAGGGCAAAAAAGCAAACTCAGCAGGGAAACACCAGCCCTTAAGGCTGAAGTTCATAGATGCTTCATATCCAGGCCCCGCCTCCTTTTGAGCCGGCAGACCACCTCACATGCACTGGCCTCGGCTCACCGGACCAGGTGGCCTGCTGGGTCACGACTGGCTCGACCACACTTGGCCAGGACCTCTGACATGTGTGGCTTGCCTCGAGAAAATGGGCTGGGTCAATCAGCCCCCACCTGGGAAATCCAGAGTAAGAAACACTAAGGGACACTACACGTAGCCACCTGGGAACCCATCTGATGCCATGTGCAGAAGGCAAGAGAGAAAGCCGGGTGGGGGACAGAGGAGACAGGAGCAGAGGGGACCACACTCCCGTCTTTCCAGCTCTACCAGGCTCTGGTCCTCACAGGACACTGCTGTGCTTCTGTATTTCACGGTGGACACCTCTTTCATGAGCTGGCTCCAGTGGACCTCTGGCTTCCAGTGCAAAGAGCCCTGGCTGCAAGGATCACCCCAGTTTCACCAGTGAGGAACCCAGAGCCCTGCCTCGGTCCCAAAATTAGGGAGTGGCAGAGTGGAAGGTCAATCCCACATCTGTCGGACTGCAAAGCCCGAGCAGTCACCACCCACCTACCTTCCTGACCCACTCCCCACTTGGGACCACTTCATCGCTTACCAGCCCCTCACAGAGAGGAAGGTGAAGATCAAGCTCACACTGGGCAGTCTGGCTTCTTCCCAGCCAGCAGCC